AAAAAAAGGAAAAAGGAAGGAAAGACAAAGAAAAGGAAACACAGGAATACGACATTCAAATTAAAGTAAAGCGCGTAAACGGAATTAAGAATTAGATTAAAAAAAATAAATTAATTGGTTGCATTTAGTTGAGTTTAGTTCTACTGCTTTGGGACCTGGGAGAAAAAACAATTGCCTGCAGAAAGCAACGGTTCAATCACCTTGGACAACAAATGGTATGGCAACTGCAAGAAACGTGGGCACTGCAGGTTGATTTTTTAAATCAATTTTGCCCATCGCGTGAAGGCACACAACAATATTTGTTTGGTTTACACCAAGTTTAATGCACTCTCATATGGTTACAAGTTATCGCTTTTTTGGGGGGGGGCCGATCGCTTTACATAGTTTGGTGCACTTTCTCAACACAACTGGACCCTCCCTTACTAAAGTGGTCTACGCTGATTTTGACCACATCTCATATATATATATATGTATAAATCTGCCTAAAAAACGCATAGGAGAAGCTTCCCCATTGATTTTGGCAATTCAGAAACTCCAGTCACAAAATCCAAAGTTCGCAAGTGCCACCAATCCCGAATCGACACTGATCGGTTGTTTGAATCTCCATGTTTGCTGATTGAACCATTTTTTGAACGCACATGTTGGATGCAGTTATTCGGCGCGTGTTTCAATCCTCATGCCAACCAAATATATATATATATATATATATCTAAACATGCTTATATAATAACTACTATGTATATAATATAAATATATATATTATTATTATTATGATTAATATTATTATATTATTATTATATTATTATTATTATATTATTATTATATTATTATTATATTATTATTATTATTAATATTATTAGTATTATTTTATTATTATTATATATACATTATTATATATATAATTATATGTATATATATATATGTATTATTATATATATATATATATTATTGTAAATATATATATATATATATTGGTTATATATATATACTATTATATATATATATTATTATATATAATTGTACATATAATTATATACATATGTTATTATATATATTATTACATATATAATTATATATACATTATCATATATATATATATTATTATTATATATATATATATTTATATCAATATATACATATTATTGGCTACCACGTCGGCCCTTTGTTGATGCTTCTCTTCCACTCTTCTTCCTCCCAGTTGAAACCAAGGGACGTAAATGGCAGAGAAGGGTGGGCTTCACTTCTCTCTTGAGCCAGCAAATTCATGCAAACAGGTACCTTCTGATAAGGACTCACAGTCTGCTATGGTTTAAAAAAAAAAAACATTTTGAATAGGTATCTATATAGAAATGTTCACAGTTTGCTATGGAAGCTCGTCATTATTCATAGGTGCATTATCGAACAAAATTGGACATGGCTTCCATAGCTGTAGGGACAAACCACGTTCATCTGTTTCTCGTCGAATGGTAAGGTGTGGGGAGCCCATAGTTTGGATTTCATTTCACCATGGATATTGCGTATCAAGAAAGGCGTATTGATACTGAAGACCAGGTAGATGAAGAGGTTCAGTGGAATCATCTGTGAACCGCCACAAGCTTGCAAAATCTGAGACCCATATTCATGTCGAACAGCTGTATTGAACATGTCAAGTCCAGTCAAATTCTCTGTGGCCTTGGTATCATACCACGCTGAGAAACTCTGATAAATCAGTGCCCGGTCACATGGGATCAGCTCTCCATCAGGCATCCTGTGACCTTTGGAACAGCAGGAACGTTTCGCCGCTTGAACCTCGAAACGGCGAAGCTTCCTGTTGAGCTCCGTCAAGTTCTGGGTCATGCGCGTGCCAATGCAGGATTGACACGGGTAGGTGAGGAGAAATATCACGAAAACATACGAAAACACTGATGCTGCACAGCAACATCGTTGGCCAGTAATTTTGGGTATGCTCAGTCCCGAGCACGATGACAAAGGTCACACCCCGAATGGCAAACCACCAAACAGAGTGCAGCAACAACAACAACAACAACAACAACAACAAGGGAAGCGCTACAGGGATTGCTTACACTGGTCTCTCTCCGCGGTGAATTCGCATGAATGTCGCAAACTCGTAGTCGTAGACACATCAAACACGGTCAATGTAGGATTCAGACACAAAATCACCAATTTCTTCGAGTGTTTCAAGAATCCCGCCAGTCCAAGAATGCACGTTTCTTTTGCTCTCTGGTCTTCCTGTGGTATGGTCAGCTTGTCGAGAAACGCCAACCTTGGCCTGAGGAACAGATCTCGAATGTCTTGCCAGAAAACCAGGAAAATCACAAAGACATACAAAGACTAGGTAGCCAATGGATACCGCCCAACCAGTCTGAGGCAACACCTTGTACTGGATAAGGAAGCCTCCCGCTGTGCTAAACAGCAATATTGCAACCGCAGCAGCTTTCACATTGAAGAGCAGAAGCAGAGAGCCATACTTCAACCAATGAGATGTCTGCCAGTCATGACTGATGAAAGCATCAAAATCTAAACATTGCCTTAAGTTCCTGCGACCCACAGAGAAATCTTCCGCTTTGAAAGGTCTTCCAGCCCTGGCCAAAAGGTAGCGGAAAGGGATGCCTTGGAGAGACTCTGATGGCACCTGGTGAGACAAGCTCCTGCTGGAATCTTGCTGAAATCTTGGTGACACTGGCAGCCGGCTGTTGTGAGAATCAAGATCCTGATCCTGATCCATCACGGAAACGCGGCACCGAACCAAGGTAAGCAAGGCATATCTCTGTTTCTCAATTAGAGTTTTAAAAAATATGTATAATTCCAAAAAAGGTGGTACCAATGGACCCAAAAGATTGAATATTTTCAGCAAACTGCAATATCTATGTTGAGTCCTTCATGTTTGAGTCACAAACAATTTAAGATGGGAGACTTTTGGTGACTGAGATCCAAGTACATGTCGTCCCTCATCAAATCCTTGGTGTCCACTATGCTCACGCCAATCTGCACCTTCGGAACAGCTACAAGATGCTACAAGCACTTGAGCCTGGGGCAAGGTTGCTATAAAATGAAACGAAGAAACCTACCCTCTGATAATCAAACGTGGCAATTGGAAAATAATCTACAGTTACGGCCCTTAACATCTATAAATTGGATTATAACTCCTGCGACTAAGGCTATACATATCATTATAAGGCAGTCATAACTCATAACTGGAGGGGCTATAACTACAACTGTGTAAATGATTGTAAATGGATGTTTTTAACGGGAAAATCATCGACAAATGGATCATGTTCCAATTTGTCCATTGCCATCATTGCCGGAAGGTACTGGAGCTCGTTTCGGCGATGTTCAAACCCTGGAAGAACCATCCCATCCCCCTAGTATCATATATCCAAGAACCAAAATGATTACCATCTGGTTATTTAACATAGCCATGGAAAATCACCATTTTTAATCGGTAAACCATCTGTAAATGGGCCATTGTCCATGGCTATGTTAAATAACCAGATGGTACATTCCAATATATTCCAATACTAAACCAGGGTTTTCAGAAAGGCATTTAATATTAGGGAGGAGTGATTCAAGAATTATTAAACCACGTCTGACTTGGGCACACTTTTTTCCCACTGACCTCTTTGTGGCCATGATAGATATACAGTATATACATATACAAATACGTGTAAACACCCCATATCTTATTGTGTATATATATATATATCATTATACTATATAATATGTAATATATACGTACATACACATATATATATATATACATATGGTCATGCATGTAACCCTGTGGTATAGCTGAGAACTCGCCCATCAATCAAATATTCACCAAGGCTCACCCCAGTCTTTTCGATCAATTGCTGCATTTCAGGTGCGGGGAAATCACCGGCGAAGGGTTCGTCTGAGTTCCACGGCCACCCGACATTTCACCTGGAAAAAACATAAAAAATAAATAAAATTCTTCTGCTGGGACTGGGAATGACCATGTCTTTGGGTTTCATGATCAACTTGGGGCTTGTGCAAGTTGAAGACTCAGTGGCAACCAAAAGCTGTGGAAATTCCCTCGCCAAGATGGTACTTTGAAGACAAGGTACAATGATGGGCCGCTACTACTTGCAAATGGATTATTGCTTCCCAATCAACTTCTAGTCATCCGCAGTCACTCCCAACATTTTCCAGTTAAAGGATAGTAGTCACGCGACAAGCGTGCATAATATCAACCCATGATTAAACACAACAGTTTGTGAATAGGGGGTACCAGTCTGAAGTGTAAGTTATCACAACTTTTGGGGAACCTCAATTAATAGTCAGGTTTCATTGCTCCAGGATTATACAACATTATCTGGGTCTCACGGCCCGTGCTGCACGCAACGTGTCAATGCGAACCATTCGTGGAGTCTCCGCGGACAGTGATACATATCATGCTGCGCGCGACCAAATAAGACCTAGATTGACAAGCAGCTTCAAAACCCTCATCTGATGAGCTTCATCTGTGAAAGCTGTTCTTCACAGTTCTTGAGATGGACATATATAAAATACTTCAAAACGTCTTCCTCACTTTCATCCCCAACCACAACACTTTGCTCACTTGCACACCCGCTGACAATGCAAATACAATACAAAGTACCATCCAAAAATATCCATAACATCCAGGGTACCGTCCTACCTGCGGCATGGGAGGGGATGGGAAGTGCTCTTCCCCTGGTGAACACCAAAATAGCTGGCTGGGAATTGATCGAAGTTCATGACCTGTCCCATATATTTTCATACGACCTTTTGGCTGGTGAATTTCGATTTTCGCCGTATAGTTGCTGGATAGATATGGGTATGGGTCAGTTTTGAAGGGTACCCTGTTGCTCACACAAAAATATCTGACAAAATGATGTTCATCCTCCAAAAAATATGGTTCATCAATGAAAATCATGGTCACTTGATCCATGGCTCTGTCCATCCCCGTTGAATGATGGCTCCTGCGCAGCATTGGACTTCTCATGGCTCCGGTCATGGTCTCAGAAGTTCTTCTTCCAGAAGCAGGCCTGGAAGAGCCAGGGGCTGTTAGTGGATCTTAAAAAGATTTAAAAAGTCTATACTAATGTTGGTTAAGCAATAATAAACCATCCATACGTAGTTTGATGGTTCATACCATCCATTTATGGTAAAACTGGGGATGGTGGATCCTATTGCTTTACTAACATACTAACATTATAGGGGTATGACCATGCCAGAAAAGGAACAAAAGAGGTGCGTAGGTGTGCATTATACACATAATATCCAGTGCGACAAGAAGAAGAAAACCACCAAGAAGAACAACGAGCAGAACAACAAGACCAACACGACGAGAAACAATAACACAAATATGACCAAGAAAGGAACAAGAACAAGAACAACCCTGATAGACCATAGTCAACATTGAATGTATAACGGTTTGTTATCCGAACATGGACAAACCTGACAAACAATGATGACTTCTTGAACTTGACGCAGCATGTTTAGATGATTTTCCCATCCAATTGCCCATTTGAAGAGGATTTCCGAACCAGCCGTTGTAGCAAGAGTCGAACAATGCCAATGATTTAGCGCCTATCCAGGCTGATGAGGATGAATTTCTATACCCTCTGGTAAACTAACATAACTATTGAAAATGGTCATAGAAATAGTTTATTTACCCATTAAAATGGTGATTTTCAATAGTTATGTTAAATTACCAGAGGGTATATATATATATATATTATATATATATATATATATGCGGGGGCGTTCCTGAAGTAGGGGTACCCCTAAATCATCCATTGATGGATTTTCCCATATAAACAATCCATTAACAGGGGTACCCCAATGACTATAGAAACCACCATATTTTGTTGTTGGGCTTCCTTGAGCAGTTTTTAACCTCGATGGCTAGTCCACACATCTCCCAGCCATAGTTGATGACCGAAGATTATATCAATAGCATAAAATCGTTCTATGGCTTATAACATCGTCCCAATAAATACAATAGCTTCAGAATTGCCATAAAACAACTTGCTGGTGCGTTTTACGCAGGGAATTTTCCGGAATGATCCCAATCATCACTAATTCGTAATGTCATCATCCCAGCAACCCATCCAGCAACCCTACGTAAAACGCACGCACCAGTCGGCCGAGATCTCAGGATCCCGACCGCTGAGAGTTCCCGCTCGTAGTTGTCATCCTTTTTTGCGGCCGAAACATGAAAAATGGGTCTCAAGAGTTGCAAGAAAAATGGGTCGTGACTTAGTAACACTAAGAACTCATGAGGACAGAAACACAACCAAGAAAAGTAAGTGAAAATAAGTAAAGGCAAAGGGTGTTTCTGATGAATCATTCGGCCTGGGTTGCATGTCTCACCCTGGTACACTCCTGAACATCCATGCAAAGCATAGGTGGCCGCACTGGCAATGACCAATGCTGGTTTCTTCGTGTTTGGGAATTGCCGACCATCCCAAGATAATTACATTAGATACCACACCGTCCTTGATTGATTGGTATCAGGGTCGTTACTTGCCAAACAAGGATTGAACATCACATGGGTTTGACATTAAGCAGTTCAAAACTCTCAGGTTCAATGTATCAATGTATCAATGTATCAATGTATCTATGTATCTATATCTATCATATCTATCTTATCTATCTAATCTATCTAATCTATCTAATCTATCTATTCTATCTATTCTATCTAATCCATCTAATCTATCTATTCTATCTATTCTATCTAATCCATCTAATCTATCTAATATATCTAATCTATCTAATCTATCTAATCTATCTAATCTAACTAATCTATCTAATCTATGTAATCTATCTAATCTATCTAATCTATCTAATCTGTAAAATCTATCTAATCTATCTAATCTATCTCATCTATCTAATCTACCTAATCTACCTAATCTACCTAATCTACCTAATCTACCTAACCTACCTAATCTACCTATCTACCTATCTATCTATCTACCTATCTATCTATCTGACAATCCATCCATCCATCCATCCATCCATCTATATGTCTTTTCCCTGTGTTTGTGGTGTAAACCTGAGTTCCCAGGCCAGCAGCAAGGCGAACAAGCTGCCGAGGACGCCAAAGATCAGCAGCAGAAAGAGGCCCTGGCTGTTTTTGACTATGGATTCCATGACTATAAGGGAACCAACAAAAAAGATGGATATATATATATATGTATTATATACATATATATTATATATGAGATCTATATCAATTGTATATAATGGAATATATATCATATATGTTTGTTGATCAAAATTCCTTTGCCCGGGAACGGCCATTCTTCGCGAATAAAAATGTTACTTTGGCGAAACTTTCGCAAAAAAAATGTTACTTTCACGAACTCAAAAAAAACTTTCGCGAGGGTTTCCCACAGAACATTCACGGCTTTCGCAATTAAAACTCCTTACAAGGACCTTTAGATCGATTACCAAATGTATATAATACTATATAAATAATATACTATATGTTATAGATTATATCACATGTATTATATGTTATATATATAATATATATATATATCATAAATATTATATATATAATATATAATATAATATAATAATCTAAAAATAATATATATATATTATATATATAATATATAATATATAACATATAGTATATATTATATATACAATATATATAATATAAAATAAATATAATATAATAAATATAATATAATAATTATATATATGATTCTATATGCATATATAAGATTCTTTCTGAGCCGGGCACTTGGAGGATCATCCCACGAGCCGGGACCCGGTCCCGGTCTAACCAGAATGGTTTGTTTCTTTACCTATCAACAATGGAGATTTTCTCGTAGGATATAGCGGAGATCATGGATAATCTGGGAAAACAACCATGGATTTTCAAGGATAATCTGGGATATAACATAACCATGGATTTTCTCGTATTTCATGGGTCATTAAATGTCCCCATTGAACATCACCCAACCATTAGGTATATGGTCTATAATGGCTACTATAAGGTGATGTCCAATATACCCAAAATGTGACAGTTACCAACCCCTGTATTTCATGGATTTTCATGGCAATCTGGAAAAACAGCCATGGTGAAGGTCGCAACATGATCTACCTTCGGATGTTTCCAGATTGGTTCTTTTTCTATACTATGCCGGAGGGTATGTTTCACCTGTTCCATGTGTTTCTTACTTTAGAAACCAGCAAAGATGATCAAACTAATTATGCAGCGGTTTTGACATGTAACCAATGTAGAACTGCTGTCAGAAGAGCCGAGCAGAGGAATCATTTGGGCTGTATACCATACAGATATAGCTGATTCATGTGTGCAATTTTGAACATCACTATATATATATATATATATTATCATATATCATATACATATATATATATACATATACATAGGACATCCATCAACAAAATCATATGAACAAATGACCCAGGGCTGATGCCCAAGATTTGCCTCGATCCGATTTTTTTTTGGAGCCGTGGAGCCAGTTTCGGGACCGTGCGCCATCGCCATGAAAGTTATACCTCTGGTAAACTAACAGTTTGCCATTGAAAATGGCCAATAGAAATAGTGGATCTACATGGATTTACCCATAACAAAAATGCTGGATCTTTCCAGTTCGTTCTGTAAACGTTTACCAGGCCGGGTATACCCCGGAGTGCCATCCAATGAAATACTGAGTAAGCTCGGTATACCAAAAGACAATGATGGATTCGTTTAAAAAAAACGCGCATTCTATTGTTTTAACACGTTTACATTAATATAGTATCATATAATATATATATATATTATAGTATCATATAATTAATCACCCCCGCAACAGAGATATAACTTCAACGGCAGATTAATTAGTGCTGGTTGTATCATAGTCATATATTATCATATATTCATATACATTCAAAATCAGTTCTTACTCCATGATATTCCCAAAAGAATGATGAAAGCTTTTGGTGCATCCGAGTTACCCTTTGGTAATTTATGGTAATTTCACACAGCTATGGAAAAACCAATGAAGATCCACCATTTACATCCATTTACTGTATACTAGGCCAATCATCTACATAGACAAACGGCTGTTTTTCTACCGTTTTTCAGGACCAGAGGATCCATTTTTATTGTCCTGGGATCCCACGCCAAACGAAGGGCAATGGACTGCTGGACACGTTCCAACAAGTGCAACCTCTGCGGGCAAAGGACTGCTGCTCATGGGACAGATCGGTGCGGCATAGAAATGGACGCACCCAAGGGGTCACGCTTCAAATGAGCCAATTCTTGGGAATTATGTTCGTTGAAGAGCAACAAAGGAACCACTGGCCTTGAAAGTCCTGGAAGTTTCTTTTTTGCTTTCTGTAATCTTGGTGCTTGGCAAACCCACCGATTCGAATGTGTATAAACGACATTAAACAACTCTGTTTTTGGACTTGGGCAGCCCATGTTTCACAAGACGTCGTTGTCACGTCAACTCCTTCTGAGTCACGGTCACGGTCTCCAACCTGGGCCTTGGGGCCTTGATGGTTCAATCGTTTTCTTCATCACATCCCCATGAATCTGCTGCATCATTATGCAATGATACAATCACCAGATGCTCCATGGTGCTGGGATATTTACCTACATTTACCCCAAAAATCACCCAGTTTTGTAGGTAAATATATGTAAATATACAATCACCACTAACCCCAAAAAATTGATGGCTACCCCTAATCCCTCGGTTTCATCAATGTTCATCATTTCCTTCACAAATTGCTTCTTTTTTGGTGTGTTTTCCCATGTTTCCCCAAAAAATAACCTTTCTCACCTGAAAAACAGCATGGGCCACGTTTCCCTGGCTGGACGTCCCTGACCCCACCATGAAGGGCACCACCGCAACGAAAACACCTGGTGCGAAGGAGTTATTTTTTTTTTTCGGCGCAACAGGTCCCATATTTGATCGGATCTTACAGGTCATATCCCATTTATATTCCATTTGTTTGGCTAAATCCGACAATTTTTGGCGATCTCCTCACGTTTCTTCGTTGACGTGCCATATTTTCGCCGCATGGATTTTCGATGTTTTCACCATGAAGGCACCTGTGGACACTGCTCCATTGACGATGTTCAACTTGCCAAGGTCGCTGAGGCACAAAGATGTCAGAAGGACCTCGGAGCGACGAAGAGTCACTGAGTCTTTGGAGAACTGCGGAGGGATCATGTTCGCCAAGATTAACCAAGAATAATGAAAACTTTCCAAAATGTTGGTTTCATGTTGCCAGAGAGTCAACATAGTCAACTGGTGATGGGAAAGCCTTCTCATTTGGACATGGGTTAGGAACCATTAGGAACCATCCCCAGATCCCATACGGCTAGCTGTAGATGCTTTGAATTAACAAACCATGGATCATCACTGGGATAACGGGTGTGGGTTGAGATCTACTAATATGAGCCAAGTCAAGAACGAATAACTGATTATTACAAAGTAATCAATTAAAGTTAATAAGTTATAAACCTGTATGAGCATGGCCATCTTAGACCCCCTGCAACGCTGCAACATTTTCACTGGGGTACTTGCCTTAAGATATAAACAAGGCTACGGCGCCCATCTGCAGGCCTTCATGACATACCGTGGTATAAATGTGGCCCTTGTGAGGTGGGCATTTTGTCTGAACATGAAACTGTTCATAGTATATACCCTCTGGTAAGCTAGCAGTTTGCTATTGAAAATGACCCTAGTTCGTTGATTTACCCATTAAACATTGTGATTTTCCAGTTCGTTATGTTAGTTTACCAGAGGGTACAACGTCGAATCAAGTCGGTGAGAAGTTCTTACAATGTAGCATCAAGTCGGTGCGCAAGTTCAAGAGATTGTCTTAGCAGGCAATTAAACATGAACGTTATTATGTTCCACTCCACCCACACTCCACTCCCCTGCTCCACCCCATGTGCAACAAGACATCAACTACGAATGAAAATTACGAATGAAAATTGGCAAAAACAGAGGGATCGTGATTGTTTCCAGGAACTCAGAAAAAAAAACAACTCTGCTTTGCCCCATCGCCACAATCCATAGCGCAAAAAAAATCATGGATGTTGTGTGCACCTATTAGCTCTAGAATTACCACAATTATCCGACCACTCCTGTGGCAAGGATGATGCCCAAGTATCCGTTCTCCCAGGTAGCCTAGATCTGTTATGAACTATTATGGTGTACGGAAAAGCTGCGGTATCTGCAAATCTTGCGGAGTGCGTTGCCGCATAGGTATGTGGAGTTCGATGTTGTAATGGTAATGTGATTTTTGCATATTTTGGCTATCCAAAATATCGAACAAGTATGAAAAAGTGATTGAATAAGGATTTGACCAACGGTTTCAGGGAAAGCTACTGTATCCAGCCCCATCAAAGAGACTCCAGACCAATGAGTGGATTAACTGGGGTGTACGATCACAAGGCCAATGAAATGAGATACAGCTCCTAAACTTCCGATCTATCCTGTTACAATCCTAGCAAACTCCCAGTTTAGCCCGATGGTGATGGAAAACAATGGTGAAACAGTGAAACATGGTGAAAAAGGCGTGGCTGTACAGAAAAACTGTATAATATGATGATAACTCTGATAATCCTAGTGATTACCCTCCAGTCATCAACATGGCAATGGAAAGTCCACCATTTCTACCTGATTCTTATATTTAAATGACCAATTTTTATAGGGTGCATTTTCCATTGTCATGTTTCCGAAGGATATCTGTCAGCTGGGAAGTCATGCAGCTGCGACAATGGCACCTGGCAGCGCTGCAAGATATGTTTTGTAAAACAATGTCATAAACCACCCATGAGTGGGAAAGGCAAACATACCACCTATAAACATGGTTATGACTGGGGGATGGTTTATGAAATTGTTTTACCCACATTCATATGATCATATGGATGGTTCATGGCCGTTTAAACATTTAGTTTCTACGCTCAATTTTTCTTCTACATGTGAAGAAGGTAGATAGGACATGATGGGAACATGATGGAACATGTGTGCATTTGCTTCCTGTACATACTTGAAACGTTTTGCTGATGTTTGTTTCGTAAGAAAACCAATGGTATAGTGATCCAAAGACTGGTGCTTCAACTACCTAGCATGCAATGTGCATGCAATAGACTCATCTTCTGGGTAAACATGGTAATTATATGTAAAACGGCTGAATTTGGATTCCAATTGTAGGGTCTACATCGAAAAACCTTCAAGCCAATCGCCAGTACCATGGTGGCCAGAGCAAAGGAGAAATCCAGCGAGAGCCGAACCCACCGTTTTCCACATGCGTCACTTGAAACCTGAAACATGTGAGGGCCTGGTGCCTGAAAATCGGCTTATCCTTTGCTTATCCCAGATATATGGTAGATATAGATGGTAGATGATGGTAGATGGCTATGGCTATGCTATGGCTATGGTTAAGATTGACATAGATTGACGAAGTAAACGTCAGGTTTTTCGATCCCAACATCCCAGCATCGCCTATGCCAAAATGTACCGTTTCAGCACGGCTGCTATGGCCTGGGTGACGGGCTCATCCATGGGCCATGGGCGGACCATGGCACAAGTTACCCGGCCTGGTGAACATACAAAAACCTATTGAAAATGGCCATTTATAGTGGATTTTCCCATTAAAAATGGTGATTTTCCATTGCTATGTTAGTTCACCAGAGTGTATAGCAACCAACAAAAAACTTTGAAGAGTTAGGAATCCTGAAAAAAATCCATCGTGGACATCATGGAACCAACATCTTGGAAAAACCTTGGAACTAACATCCTTTTGGGGCATGAAACTCGTTTTTTTTCGCTTACCCTTCCAAGTCGGCCCAAAATCATTGGTGGAACGCATTGGATCCCATGACTGAACTAAGAAGCACAGCACGGCCCAGCATGTGAGGTACCTTTTTTGTGTTCCAGCTAGCCATGATTGATCACCAGAGAGGACTGTATAATATATGGGCATATATATATATGATATATGTATATACGTGTATATATATATGTTATAAAATGGTGTAAACAGATACAGTAGCTAGCATAGGTGTCCTTTTTGTATAAATAGACGGTGCCATTTACCATCACTCACCTTTTGTTTGTTTATTTGGGATACACCCTCTATTTATCAGCCAACCAGGGATAAAAGGACAGCCATGGTAGCTAGCAGCTAATCAAGAAACACTTAAACAACACGAAGTTGTTGCTGGGTAGCGCCAGTCGGCATCCCTGGGAATCACCAGGGCCATTGGGGGTTTCCATGGGGATATCCCGACTTATCGCTGGATGGCTGGATGATGGCTGGGAGTCCGCCGATGTTTTTTCGGACACCGCTAAATTTGGATGTTAATGTTCATCCCAAGGTACTTGAAGTGGTTCAGAATGCAACCATGACATAAACAATCCTTACCCAACAAGTCCCCGAAAGATGAATTTCGTGGACTTTCTACTTCCATACCATCATTGTCTTCTTCCAAGAGCTGAAGTATCATGAAGTATCCACATCAAAATTCAAACCAGAGGCCTGATGACCCAATACCTGGGATATCCTCAAATATCCAAGGCCTGGTGAGTGGAAGGTCGCAATCATGGACTTCAGGATCAAGGGATAGACCTGAAAAGCCACCGGTTGCTAAATATCTGCGGAAGTCAATTGGGAATCACCATCCCAAATACGTTGTGGATTTTTTGGGGGGGTTCAAATTTGAAATTCACCAGAAATGATAAAGAATCAACACATATAAAGAAATATAAACAGAAGTTGATGCCAAAGAGGTCAGTTGCTTGGGAAACAACATGTGATCTCTACCGCTCAGCAATCTGTACATGTGTTTGAATCTATTTAATCTATTTTCAAGGCTTCAAGTGGTGAAACAGAACCCCAGTCTCAAAACTTGTGAGCCTCATGAACGTTACATCTTCAAAACGGACCAAAACGGTACAGCGTGGTACTCAAAACAATCGATTGCAGGTGCCAATTATATCATGCCTTTTTTGATTTAAAACAATGAACCAAAAGTAGTTCGATACATCCCGCAATTGGTAAGCAATCCATGGACAATGACAAGCTAGGTCTGAAAACCAGGAACCTAGTCAGCCAAAGCCGTAGTGACCAAACTATAGGATGCATTTGATTTGTTGCGAGATATAGAACCTGATGAAAAAAACTGGTTGGTGGTTTCAACCCCTCTGAAAATAACAAATGTTCCAAACCACCAACCAGAAAACCATTTCAAATCAATCATTTGCTGAAAGAAGGCTCTAGTAATTAATTTCAAGCCATACTTCAGTCAGACTACTGCGATTCGCAAGGGACTTTTGACCACGTGTCTCATGGCAACGTCATCGAAAAAAATCCTCTGAGGCAACTTGGCTTCGCAGCAAGCACAACTTTGCTGCAGGATCCATAGCGAGGAGGAACTGAAAGAGAATTGCTGGACCATAATCTGATTGGGCTTGCTGCAATACATCATGTGTATATAAAGTACTTACAATGCAGTTGGCGACTCATATATACTGGGATAGGGCCGTTAAACGCGGTGAATCACAACCTGATTTTTCTTGGAGACACTCCCTTCGTCCCATCTACAGAAATCTTCTTTAATAGCCTACTTTCAAACCGAGTTTCCGTTTCCAGCTTCTGAAACCATTTCGGAAAAACAATCAAACTAAAAGTGGTTACTATTCACAAGTTCGAACACATCAAAACACCATCATTGTTGGTAGCACGACCATGTGGTTGTTCACTTCCATTTTGTTTCAAATCATCTCTTGGCAGCTTGTTGTACCATCATTGATTTCGTTCATAATCAGTGTCGCAAGTTGAGCATCACGGATATATCCCTCCTTTGATTCTGAAACCCTTTGCTTCATTTTCTGCAGTATAGTTCCAATTTATTTGCAAGGTTTACCCCATTTTCAGACAAACCCAAATAGAATTTTGTTTGCTAGTATGCCCAACATCAGTCCCCATCAAGTTATTGGCGACCTACCACGATGTATTGTTGCTAATAATCCCCCGTTTGTCCAGCCACATCCGTTGGCTTCAATCCCACATCGCCATCATCTCGCCAACTTATTTCCCCCATTGAAATTGCCACAAATTGCTGATCAATTCATATAGATTCTCCATGTTCAGACAAAACCTAGTTATCATATCATAGTTGGTTAATTATTTATATACATTAATTCATACATCCCCTAACTTTAAAAAAAACATATCATAGTCACAGTTGGTTCATGTTGGTTCTATCTCCCCCCCCAAAAAAACTAATGAGTTACTAAATCAGTTCATCTAGAGGCTACTTTAATTATCATGTATAGCTGGATATATATAATATATTATATTATATTATGTTATATTATGTTAAATTATATTATACTATATTATATATATATATGTACATTCCGGTAAAATAGCAAAATATGATAATATCCAATTGTGGCCACTACTCCGATTTAGCTATAGTAATATCCTATACTATAGTTGGTGTCAGGATGGAGCGAAAAAAAAATCACCAATTTCTCCAACCACTTCCACGGGCCCTGGGTCCGCGACGCCCATGACGCTGGCCTGGTGGCCCGGTGTCCAAAATCCCTTCGAAATGGCGGTTATTCCGTAGACCATGGATTTTTTGTAAAAGATTCTGGTAAACTACTGGTACATACCCTCTTACCATCACATTATACAGTATGGTATTATATAGTTATATATGTATATACATATTTTAATTGAGGGCTTATTGACCACCATTACCCTCTGGTACTCAAACGTGGAAGGGGAAAATCCAGCATTACTGGTGGTATTTTCGATTGCCACGTTTGACTACCAGGGGGTAAATTCAAATTGGAGCTTTAGCCTTTATCAACATCAAGAATGAAACATATATATATATTATATAACAATATCACATAATATATACAGTGTATATATATATATATTATATGCTTCATTCTTGATGTATATATATATAATATAGATAGGTAGGGAGGTAGGTAGGTAGGTAGATAGATAGATAGATATATAGATAGATTAGATTAGATTGATTAGATAAACAACAACTGTGATGAAGAGATTTTGCTACAACTTACCGACCAAACAAGCTGGGGAGTGCACCATGCTCTGGGTGTGACCAATAGAATGAATGAATGAATGAATTGAGACATACAACCTGCCAGCCGAAGCTGTGGTTAAGTAGCCATGAGAGCCACAGAGGCTCTAGCAAATAAATAAGTGAAAACACAGGGGAGCCGAAAAGCTCAGGCAGTCAGAAGTCAAGCTTCAGGATGGCACTGGAAATCGATGCTTCGCTTTCTGCAGTGCAATGACAGAATTATGAAAAGGTCGAGTAGTCTTCCACTGTCTAAGAAAGACAGAGGCAGCCCACAGGTGAGCATCAGTGAGAATGTTCTTGCAAAAAACAAAATCATCTCGCTTGGCGTCGGTTATTTGAGCGGCCGCAAGGTCAGCCAACTCGTTCAACGTTCTGCACTCTTGAGCGGAAAGGTTCCAGTCAAGCACAGGTGTCCACAAGGGCTTTTTGTCATGGGAAGGTACCCACATCACTTCCACACCATGAGTGGCAAGCATGGCGATATAGGACCAGAAACCGGCAGCATCGCCGTTCCAGTTGCCAAAACGCAATCCTCGGAGGAGGCGCTTGACAATTGCCTCATTGTCGATGAGCAAACGCACAGGCACAGCTGCAGAATGTGCAGCCAGCATGGCTTGCACCAGAGCTTCACGCTCGGCAGCAGCCGGGGTGTGAACACAGCCAGTCAAAAGTCCGTTGAATGAAAGCTTCGTGGAGGTGACAATCCCCCAGGATGCCCATTGGTATAAATCATTGCCAGGGTTGACCAAACAGCTGCCATCCAAGGCCAAGACGACAGGAGAATGGTCGACAGCGTACAACTGTCGTAAGCACTGAACCAACTCAACATTAGCAGTTAATGCGGAAATGATTGGAGTGTTTGGCAAAGGGACTAACGGCTGCAACAGCCGAGTTTCATTGTGAGTCTTAAGTACAGGCTTCTCAGCGGTATCAGCATTGCAGTGAAAGGTGAGATGCTCGCGGTCGGGAGAATTGATGCCACAAGCGCACACTTCAGGCGCACCCATTCTTTCCAAAATGCGTCCATCAGAGGCGGCGGCCATGAGAACAGTCATTTTATATCGCTCACCACATTCTTTGATCATAGCATTATGAAAACCAAAGTATGGATTGAGGTGGTCTGGCAAGTGTTCCTGTGTTTTAGTGTCAGACTGGAAGAGGACTCTGGTCCAGGAAAGTCGCACAAGCTTGGCCAAATCAGAGTCTGAAATCCAACCAACACGAATTTGGCCAAAAGGAGTTTGCCAAACATCATTCTGCAAATTTTTCCAATTGAGTAAATTGAAAGTGTCAATCGCTCGCGGCGAGGCGCGCGTCACTGTACATTTCCCAAGAAAAAGATTCACCTGGCGTCTCCATTCATACATGATGGCTTCAGTGGAGAGAGCACATTCAAGATGACAGCGAAGTCCAGCGATGGCGGTCCAGAACAAATAACCGGAGCGACCAGGAGGTGTGCCATACCCCCAAATGGCAGTTTCGATGGCCCTGGCCCAACCCTTAAGCGTACCTTTGTGAAATCTTTGCCAAGGACCCATCCACCTGAGCATGGCCACAACAAGAATGTGGACAAGCTGACGACGCATGTTCAAGTTGCGTGTGACCATACGGATCTTTCTGCACCTGGAAACGAGGGTCTTATGCAACTTGTGATCTTTGTGGCATTTGAAATGAGAACCAACGAAATATTGAATTCCTAGAAGTTTGAATGAAACTTTGGCAGGCCCAACTGTGAGGGCACGATCATTAAGATATTGGCGGTCCCCGGCTTTCAGGGCAAAACTTTCAAGCTTGTCTGGGTGGAGCGCAAAGCCTAGCGCTTCGTCAAGACTCTGGGCACACAACATGGCTTCATGCACGTTTGCAGCAGCCATGCGATCGGTTGCCCAAATTGTTCTATCATCTAAATAAACTGCAAGTCGAACTGAAGGGACTCGCACTTTTATGGCATTGACCCAAACTGTCATGAGGCCATTAAGCAATGCGGGGCTTGCAGGACAGCCTTGCAAAACACTTCTGCGAGCTGTGACAGGAGTTGGAGCAACACAATTTCGGATGGAAAACCAACGAGACTGATTTTGATAAAAATCATTAAGGACGGAGAGGACACCAGGTGGAGCCCCCAAGTGTTTCCAAATGCGAATGGCAGTACTAACTTGTACGGAGTCAAAACATTTTCTCACATCAGCTTTACATCCTGCGAAGTGTGCAGCCCTGCCACGGCACGTTTGCAAATCGCTGAACAGATGAGCATGAACATCATGGATACTTTTCTCTGCTACACCCCCACAAAGTTCTGGAGAGAGCCAGGAAAGAGTCCATTGTCTAAGTTCCCGCATGACAGCTGCCATGCCAAGTCTCCAAGCCATGACAGCTATAGCCAAAGGGCGCATGCCGCCATCATTTTTAGGAATGAGAGCGATGCGGACATGCTTCCATTGTTGTGGGAGAGTGGCACCTTGAAGGCACGAGTTCCAAAGATTGGCGAGTTTATCGAAAAAATCAAGTGGCAAACAGTCCCATGACTTAGCAAGCCAGCAATCTAGACCCGGGGCCTTTTTGATGGCTTGATGGCACAAATGTTGCAGTTGGTGTCCCTGAAGGGACGGCAAAGGCCAGGGATTCGGGCAAGCAGGAGTAAATTCCAAGAATTGATCAAGCGCTTGATCCACAGGCAAAGTCTCCGGATTCCACAAATTAAACCAAGACCTGGCACACTTTTCCGCTTGAAGTTGAGGGTGTGGACTGTCAGAACACCAACTCCCACTGTCATCCAGTTCGGATCGGGCTTTGATCCACCTAGCAAGGCGTGGCACATCGTCACTGATTTGGTCTTTCCAGTCGTGGATGCGCTGACGCGCGGCCGCTTTGGCCTCTTGGTCAGCCAGGTCAAAAAGAAACCGCACAGTGGCTTCGGAATTCCACTGGCACTGCGTTAAAAGCGGAACTTGGTCACTAAGAAAATCAATGAAAAAGAAAAAGTTTCTTTTGAGTTTCACATCGTTTGGCTGGAGCAGGCTCTGCTGGGCCTTCCGCGCCAAGCGCCGAAGTTGTCGCTCCAGAAGCGATTGCAAATTTGGCGCCTTGGTGGAAGTTATCACTTTTTTAACAGTAGGCAAAAGTTGGTTATGTCTGGCATTAGGTGCCTCGGGGGTTCCCCCCAAAGCAGTTTCGGCTGCCGAGCTCAGTGCTTGCCATGCAGCATCTGAGTCTCTAGCTTCGAGAGCTGTGTCAAACGATGAGCTGAATGCATTCCACACATTAGCCCACTGCTCAGAACTGACCTTTTCAAGGCGGAGGCTTGGACGGGCAGGCCAGGAAAATTGAGTGACATCGTCTTTCCAAGGAAAGTCGTATAAAATCAAATCATGGTCAGCCACACTTTGATGTTGAACACGAGAAACAGGAAAAAACTCGTTGGTCGCAAGCATGAAATCAATGACACGGCCAGTGAGTTCACCGGCATGGTTTCGATGGGTACCTTGCAAAGCATGGGGCCCCGCTACATCATCCATATCGAACAAGAGCCCAGTGGCCAGAGCTGCTCCCATAGGCCAATGTTCCTTGGTCAAATTGAAATCGCCAATCATGCCCCACTGCTCACCAATGGATGCAGCCCACTCAAATGCAGCGGCAGCAGTGTCCGCAGCTTTGGCAGCATTAGAGGCAGGGAGGTAACAGTTTAGCAGGAGAACAGGCCTGGCACGTGGCTTGTGAATTTTAACAGCCATGAGTCTGCCGAGAAAAAGTGGGTCCTGAGGGACCTGAACTTGTTCGGTGGGCCAACGGCTAAAAATCACAGTACCAGCATAAGGCTGGGTGGCATCATGAGAAATTTGAGTTCCGAAAAAGGTATCCCATCCTGACTTTTTCGCAGTATAGCGGATACCAGCATAACTGTCAACGGAAACACGGGTTTCTTGCAAACACAAAATATGAACATTGTGAGTATGAGCGGTTTCCAAAACTGCACCCAATTTGTGAGGCAAAGCCCTCACATTGAGGCTGGCAATGCGTAAGGTATCCGAAAGAAAAAATTCAGTCATTATTATTCTGTTTGGTGGGAACATTGGCTTTACCCAAAAGGATGTTCTGGGCAATCACTATCTGGTCACGTCGATGTCCTCGGGCAGTCTTATGTGCTGTGTCCAGCTGTCGCAGCAATTGCACATGGCGCGGACTTTGCTTAGGCTCGCCACAACATTTAGTGTTGGTCATGGAAGCTCGTCGAATGTTGACTTGTCGGCAAACTTTGCAAATGTACAACGACGCTGGCGAAGGCAAAGGCCAAGGGAATTTGTCAATTTGGTGGTCAACTGCAGGACCGGACGGAGCGTCGATCCACGACAAAGTATGTTGCAGGTCTTTTTTCAAAGCATCAGGTAAAGTGACGTCATTCACAGCAGCACGAACACGGCGAATCAACAGCTGCCGACCGGGGCCGCCGCGTCGGCTAACGTTGCATGGGATTTTGGCAATTTGCGCAATGGACACCGCTGTGGCGGAGCACTTCTTGCAAAATGGATGGATCACAGTTAATCGTTTGACTTTTTCCTTGAAAGGAGGAAACTTCAAGAAAATGACATCATGGTCACCCTGCTTGCCTGCTTTCAAATCCAGTAGCCTTTGGGCTACGCCAGCACTGATCTTGGCCAACGTAGCTTTGGCAGAATTGTTGGGAGTCGGAAGAAAAAAACGGCTTCTCTTGGCAGTTGGGTGTTGCTGTTGAGCATGTTCCTTTCGAAGTCGATAGGAAGTGTCGCAATCAGTGATGTTGGGCGGCATGCCCATGTTGCATAGCGGACATTTCCAGGTGCAATCGGGCGTCCACGGCACTAATAAGGGCTTGTTTCTGAGATTCCAGTCATCCTTTTTGTCAGGATGCCAAGTAACAATATGCTGCCGACGGCGTTTGACCCAGTCTACCCGGTTTTCTGTGCAATAGCCACACTCAGGGCAGGTCCAGGAGGAAGCAACTTTGGCAGCGTCAGTGTCGTGACAGTCAACGTTTTTATTGGAAATATCTTCTTTGCGCAAAGATGCATCATCCGAAAATGCAAGAGACGGAGCAGGTGATGCTTCTCTTGTGGCAGGAAAGCAACTTTTGGCCAAAGTGGAGCAGCTTGACTGCGGCAACCAACTTTTTAAATTTATCCCAATGGCTGGCGATCTGCTTTTGGCAGAGCTGGAAGCCGGGAGCCAACTTTTGAGACTTTTCTGTTTACGCTGGCTTTGAGTCACGGTCCTACTGGCGGACTGCGTGCTGGCAACACTGGCAGAACTGGACGGAAGCCAGCTACGGAGGCTTTTGCCACCACCGCGATGCAGGTTGGGATCCCATTTCTTATCTGCAGGCGAGCTCCAGGTAGCAGGCCAGCCCTCTTCTCGTGGTTCCAATGTGAAATAATGGTTGTCTTTCAGAAATAAAGGAAGAGGTGGAAAGGAAGCAGCAGTGCTAACATCCTTGGCATTGGATTCGAGTGGAGTGATCAAGTCGGCTTTTTCCCATTTGTCATCCGCAAAACGAAAAACAACAAGATTGCGTTTAAGCCTGGTGGCAATGCCGATGAGAGTGGGGCCACAAACCCACCGGCCTGGACGAGCCGTGCTTTCCAACCACTCATCATAGGTGGTAGGCACTGTGCCGCCTTCAGTTGATTCTGTCCATCTATCATCAGGTGCCCATGAGTCTTTCCAAAGCTGATGCTTTTTTAGATGGCTTGCTACCTGAGCCCGTAATGTAGCCCCGAGGGTTGGAGCATTTTCTTTGGTCTCTTTGAGGTCGCGGCCGTCTGCAAGAGCATAAGCTGCCGCCGCGGCTCGGTAACCACAATCACCATTGCCTCCACAGTCAACACGTTGGAATCCAAATGGTGTGTCAAAATTCGTACAAACAGCTTTGGCCCTCTTTTTTTCAGGAGAGGCACCTTTGGTCTCAGTTTGCCTTTTGGTGGCTTGACCAGAAGTATCCATTTCCTCACCGTTTGAACTGTGAGTGACCTCCACTTCCATGGCATCCTTTGGTGGTGTTGCTTCAGCTATTTTGCCGCTAGCCACCGTTCCACCGACCGCCTTGGACCATTTGCTGACAGCAGGTCGGATGTCACATCCAGCTCTTACGATAGGCTTTTGTTGTCTTTTGGGTCCCCTATGGGCAGCCAAATGAAGAATGATAGGAGCCGCATTTGGCAGTTCAAACGCATGACACAACCCATTGTCAGGAGGAGTAGCACGAAGGATCCAGCCTCTGTTGCCCTGAGGCTTGCTGATTGGCGCCACATCTGTCCATTTGTTTTCAGTGAGCAAACTGCAAACATTTTCCAAAGTCCAAAACTTTGGGACTCCATCAAGCTGCCAATTTGCAGCTTTGGGAGTGTCAGTTGGCCTGGATGGCGTTCGGATGCCCAGGGCTGCACCAGAACCTTGCCTCAAAGCAACACCACTTCCGTCAGCGTCACTCAGCACCCTAATTCGATAATCAATTCTAGGCTCATCGATCAAAGGGGTGATCCACTCAACATTGGCTTTTGGGGTAGACAAACATTACAATATATATATATTATAACCAACCAACATTAAGCAAACATATAACATACAATTGGTGCTTTGAGTTTCTTCATGAACATACAATTGGTGCTTTGATTTTCTTCATAGTGTAGGAAACTGTGGTTGTTTGCGTCCAATCATAGTTTGGTGTTGCTTCCTTCCGGATGCTACTATTCTAATGAGACCAATGCAGCGAGACCATGTTGACAATTGGAGGTATCTTCATGATCATTCCGTGATAGTCCACTAAAAATAATATCTTTCTGGTCGTTGTTGTTGTTGCTGCTGCTGCTGTTGTTGTTGTTGTTTTCCATAGCAAGAAACTAAAGGATTATATAACTAACTACCCGTCCAGTTGGTTGGTGTTTTAAGCAACAGCCATTTCTGTCCCATGGTCCCATGAGCCACGAGCCAAGTGTGGTACCGTAAGTGGTGCCCCCTGAATTACAAGTTGTGTTGAAACCCCGGTTACCCTCTGGTAAACTAACAGTTTGCGAACTGGAAAACCACCATTTTTAATGGGTAAATTAACTATAAATTGCAATTTTCCATAGCCATGTTAAATTACCAGAGGGTAAGTAGTTCAATAATGTTCAATATATCTACAGTACCACCCGTAGTGACGTATGAGGCACTCTCTCCGGTGTCACCAAACATGGCCAACTGGAACCCCCCCCATTTAGTTCGATGATATTCTAACCTGGGGCCCCACACCCCAGCACAAAGCCGTGCCATCTTCCCGGAAAAGCCTGCGAAGACATGGGCCCCTCAAAATGAAGTAACATTAAATTTTTGAATACCCTACGAGTCTGTTTTCAAACAAATCCAAATAGACTTCAAGGGGCGAACCAACTATAAAGCCTTGAAAAAACCCGGTCATATCTTGCCGTCTTATTTTTTGTGGATGGTAGTTTAGGGTCAATACCGTGGTGTTTGATGGTTTCCGCCATCTTCAGCAAAGTTTGCTTCACTGTAGACTTTGCGTGCTCAGGCGATGATTGCTTCAAGTCGCTTGTTGGAAGCAACGCATCTGGCTGTGTTTGCTCGAAACAGAAGATTGGAGTCACATAGCAAAGAAAATTATGGGATAGCAAATGGCTTCAAAAAACTAGCCTCTGGTGAAAAGGCTTGAAATGGCGAAAAAAACACCCGGCTTTCATCCAACCAGTTGTGTCTCGAAACTGGGGACTGGGGACTTGTGGTCTACCCTGAACTAATCCAAGCTGCCAATGAGACTCGGTATCAACCAAAGCCTCCTATCCATGATGTTGTTGATCATCTAGATAAGATAACTGTAACTTTTCCAACAGCAAAATAATGATGGCTGAACACATCCATACATTTACATTTACAATCATTTACATGTATATATATATTATATCTTGACAATATACACACATAGGCATAAATAGTCATATCTCTCTATGTATACGTATATATATATATACATACATATGTTGTGTACTCAGTAGACCCCCCCCAACAAGACCGCCAAGCCACTCGCAGGCAGTGATAAGAGAACGTTTGATTTCACATCTGGACCTCTGCCCGCTGACAGGTCGTGCAAAAACATGTGGCACATGTGATCTGGCTCCTACTGTGCGAAGGAATGCGAAGGACTTACCAACAAATGGCTTGAAGATTGGATTGAAGATTGGGTTTACGATATACAACAGGATATCCAATGTGACATTTCTTAAACCCAATCTTCTTAATGTATATAAGCCCGTGATGAAGAATGTCAACAGACAAAACAGAACAACACGACGATGTTTGTAAAATGAGAACGACCGGCATCTCTTTGCATCCAAGTTTCTGGATGGCACCATCGGCACCATGTAGACTGACAGGTATTTTTGACGGTACTTGACACATCTTCTTTATTCTGAATATTTACTATATATGCTACTACTATCCACTATTAAATACTATATAACTATCAAATCAGGCCGTTTATGGCGCAAACATCATCTGTTTTCACCCATTCCCTGAGCCATGGGGTGATCCTCAATGGTATGATTTATTCACAAACCACTCACCAACTAGTCAACAAGTTGCAGAGCTATGAAGTCTTATAAAGATATCCCTGAAAAATAATGACATACAGTAGGTGATTCATATTGATTCACCTACGATTTCTAGTAGTTTAATAGCCCATGGTCAATCCACAACCCCCAAACCATTT